TATCTGTGAGCTTCTACAGTCAACAAACCTGGCCATAAACTAATCTCACCGAGATAATCAGGTTATTTGCAATTCCCACAGCTACCTCCATCATTTCTCAACTAACGAGTCTGTTGTTTTCCCTGCTGCCTTCAGAGCCACATCTATGCTGAACATTTTAAAGACCGCAGCACGACTACAAATAGGGCAGGCTATTTCTGGAGCTACTGTAAATGAATCAAAAAACAACTGCAAACGGAATGTCGATGTTTCACGAAGAAACCACGTTTAATATTCCTCCTCAATGTATGCTGCAACAAAAGCTGTATTCTGCCGAAGCAACGTTTCATTGTTTACAGTGAATTGCCACGAAACACAAGTGAACACAAAATGTTATAGGATTAAGTACAACCTTCGTAAAAAAAGACATGAATGATGCACCTATTAAAAAACTGTTCCAAGTATTACAAGTGTAACCAATTAAAACAACAACATATTTAACTACAATTGAACAAATTCTTTTCTCCTTGTAGAGTTTATCCAAGAAAGGAAACGATTACTTTCATGGCTAACATCAGGGATTTTCCTTGACAAAGCAGTAGCAGTAGTTAATTAAACGCATACTGGTAAGGAAGTGTAAACTCTTCAGATTCGCTTTTATGATTAAGATACAGGTAGAGACATTCATTTCCGATATATGTCCTTTTAATCAGAACATACAGAAGGGAAAGCAGTAATGTTGAATTAAACATGGCATGCTGATCCACTTTACAGACTGCATCCTCAGGCAGGGATTTTTTATTACTATTGTTATAAAGTGTTAACCCCTTTTTGATGAGAGGCACGAGGAACTCCTTCTGATTTAGTGATTTGATCCCTGATTTTATCCATGCAGACCTTGTTGCAGGACTGGGGCCATAATTCCACAGAATATTATTCGTAAGCCCAGAGGGGGAGAAAAGACACTGGTTCATGGAAGCTCTGGAGCTTCTCAGAATGCTAACGTACTTACAAAAATGGGAGGTGGATCAAGAAAGTTTTACTTCTAATACAGCAGAGTATGATTTATAGACTTCCTCCTTCAGCCCTCAGCTCTCCTGAAAAATCTTGCACACACTAATACCTCTCTTGCCTGTTCTTACTGATGTCATTGGCAAAACTCCTTATTTAAGGAGGTGCACTTCAGATCCAAAAAAAACCCGGATCAGTCAAAGGTTTAAAGAAGATGGAAAGAACCAGCTGTACCAACCCAGCACCAGCAAGCTGTCCTAAAATAACCTAGGATCAACAACAAACTTGACGCATGCCAGCATTCTTACAGGGTAAGTACCACTGATAATAAGCACCCCTGGATGCTTGCGAAACCAGGCAAGCGGTTGGAAATCTCCATGAAGGAATCCTGTAATGCTGGTAAAGGAAGTGTAATTTTGTCAACAGAAATTGTGTTGATGCTCAGGCTTCTGCTGACATGGCAGTGTTTGTCAGAGCTCACTGTCCCTGCAGACCCCAGCTGCCACAGCTTTTCCTAGAGATTATACTGGTTCCAGGAGCTGCTCTAGCTCTACTAACATAAGGCCAGCCTATACTGGTGTAACTATCTATGCCAGATTTTCATCCCCTATAGGCGTAGCTACACATAACAAAAGTGTTAAGACAAGATCAAACACAACTGTCCCGTACGTGAAGAGGAGCGCTGCACAGCCAGAGCTCAGCTATCTCAGGCAGACAAAGAGTTGCTTGGGAGGGCACTGGAGCAAAGACAAGCTGGAGCAGCTTAAAAGAGCTGCTCCAAGATCCATAGAAGATGAGTTTCTACAAGCCTAACTTTTGCAGTATTAATACATTATCACCTCCGTACCTCTGCCAGAGCCTTATCTCGGAGCAGAGTCAGCACAAGAGAGCACGTCCTTGAGCCTCAAGTGCTGCTGTTCACAGCCCAGAGCCATAACTCAAACTTCCTTTCATGAGCTTGTTAACGTATTAGGGTTTGTTTTCCACATCTCGGCAGCAGATGCTTCCTCTGCCTTCAGAGAGGGATCCATCAAAACTGACTTCTCCAAGACAGCAAATTAGGCCAGTCTCCAACCATGACACAAAGCAACTCTAAGGCATGGATCACAGAAGTTACTCAAGCCCTCCTTTGAACCACCTCATCATGCTTTCTGGCTAGAAAAAAGGACGACAACCGTAACGCTTATTTTTCTATTCTTCCTCAATCTGACAATAATTTTACCATAGGAATGACTAGGCCCAGATTCAGCAAACACTGGACAAGATGCCGCACTTCATCTCATCTCTTTCTTGACCTTCTTGAAGATAACTTAGGAAAAGTGAAATCCTCCCCTAACTGGCATACAGAGGAATTGCTTCCGGGCAGATCTCTGTGACTCTCTGATGCTCCTGATCCAAATAAGCCACTTTTTCTCCATAGTAAGTATCTAAATGAAAGTTGTTGTTCTTCAGCTTGATTCACTTCTTCCCCTTTTTTAAAAAAAAAATTGAATTAACTTTGAATGCTAGCATAAAGGCAGCACTAGCATGGCATAAGCAAGGCCCTGCCCTGACCAGATGGATTTGACAAGCTCCTCTAGATTCCAAAACCAGCCTCTTCAAGACCCCTTTATTCAAATTCAAGTCAGACTGCTCACATTCCGGGGGGGGGTGGAAGCACAAAACCAAAAAACCAACCCCCAAACCCGTTCCAAAACCCCAAACAATCAGCATATAGCAGGAACTTAGTAATTTGACTGCAAGTTTATGGTCTCAACACAATGCAGAAAACGAGCATGAGCTTTCTTTTGCAACAGGGTTATTTATTACAGCTTGTTAAAAACCAACACCTCAACATTCTGTCTCGAACTAAGGTATGACACAAAACCACTGGTAGGACAGCTGTCCTTAGGGAAGTGTCCAAACAAATGCAGAACACTCAAGAAATCCTTCAAGAGAGTAACACTGCTACCTACTAGGGAAAGGCAAAATACATAAGCAAGTCACCACCTCCAAGGAAACATTTCTCTGGCTATGAACAACGAAAGATGGAGGAGATAACTGAAGTCTCATTTTTCTTCTGCCTTGCCTCAGTATTCAGTTATTATCCAGAGACTTCAGCTTGCTGGAGACCGTTTTTTTTGGGACAGCATTCAATGAAATTATGACAGATCACATGCATTATATAACCTGCTATAAGGAAGTACTCCAAAAGCAGAGCATGATTTCAGACCCTATTCATTGCTTTGATGGCATGACTTAAACCAAGATTCAGTAATAAAAGGGCCACTGAATACACACCCTGCGAGTTATCTGTCAGTTTTCTATGACTAGGAGATGGATGCTTACGTCAGTCACTTCTTGGCACAAAATGTGATCCCAGGGCTACACCAGTTTAGTGTGGTCAGACATACCCTGACGGGAGAAACAGTTCATAAACTGAGTAACGGCCGACACTGAGTCACGACGACAGCTGAGATACCCAAAATACTGTAAAGCACCCTCACCCAGATGCTGCAGGACTGACCACTTTACAGATCTCAAAAAGCATTTCTGACCTTCATGGTCATAACCGCTACCTAAAAATTATACACGATCTATAAACTAATGCCCAAGTCTGAAAACGCACAGAAAACAAACACTGAACATACAGGTTATCTTAGCTGTTTGAGTCACCACGTATCCACCCCATTACTTTGCGCTCTGAAATCCAGAAAAGTGTCCAAGTCAACACCAACATTTTTACTAAAGACTCCAAAACTGCACTGCAGCCAATTGCCTGCAAAACCCCCTAACTTGCTGAGATCACCCATAAATTCTTAAGTCTGTTCCTCGGTGTAGAACTGGGCCGTATCACATGTTCCTACTACTGCTTGTAATTTTGAAAAAGCAGGGCTAAACTCAGGTTATACATTTCTGCTAACAGAGATACACGAGTTGGGAGTGATCCCTCACCAGCGCAACAAACAGTATCCCCTAATAAAACTGCAGTTACTCAATCAAGGTTCTTTCTTTAATTGTACAGTACATCTCATACCTGTCGGCTGTGTGTTTTTGCTCAGATGCACTTTGGGAGAAATTCCTTTTCCAGCTGGTAAAACCCTTCTATCACAAGCAGTCTGAGGCCAGAGGTGTGAGGAGGCTGAAGCACAAGCAGGCAGCTACACCACCGGGAAGTCTTCCCTTTTCTGTGGGACAAACGACACCAGGGAAGGCACCAGGCTCTTTGAGCACCACTCCCTGCTGTAGCAGTTAGCTGTACTGAGCTACTCAAATATGCAAAAAAAATGCAGTGCAAGACAATATGCATAATTTCTGAATCTGGGCTATGATGTTCTGCACATCACTAGGACTCTTCACTACAAGCCAGAGTCGTGTCTGTCACACACATGACAAACCTCTTCGATGTAGACATTCTGCACAAATTCTTGAGCTCTGCATGCAATTAAAAGGCTCTTTCAAGGCTATGAAAATAACCCCTTTATTATTTTGGAGGAACCAGATGACCTCTTTTTGTCCTTAATGGCCATCAATAAAAAACGACTAAAGGAAGATACCAGATGAATCTGGTTCTGGCTACTGAACTGTGATAGTACGAGCGCTCCAACAGGCAGCCTCGATGGCCTTACTTAGCCACACTACTCTCTGTCTGAAACAAAAAGGAAGTGGTAGGAAAATGCTCCAACACACGAGGGAATTATGTGTACATTGCACACACACTTAGACTAAATCCCTGTTTAGAGAAAGCAACAGATGAGTAAAAATAGTCCTAGAAAGGTTCTACTTTTTGAAGAAAAACTCAATCAATCACAAGAATAATTAAAATCTTCAGAAAGAAAACACATAAGACCAAAACAGTCACTGATGACACTTTTTAATTTGATATGGTCAGACTTTTTCAAAGTAACTTGTAAAACCAACAGAGTAAGACAGAACTAGAGGATAGGCAAGTTTCATATTTACAGTCATTCAAAAGTAATAGTGTAAAAGCATATCTCAGTGGTGACAGAAGCATGGAAACATACAAATAATAGTATTTTTTAGAACATTATTAGAACTTTATTATATTATCTTCTTAACTATTAAAAGAATCTGTTGCATTTTTTACTGCCTGATTCTAATTCACCAACTCCTCCACAAAACAACTTGTGATACAAAAAAAAAAAGCCACTTTTTCTGTTTGTAAACAACAAAAACACCTGCTTTTGTTTTTCCAGACATTACTGAAGTGGCACAGCAGAGTTAACACTAACGCTCTATTCTTTACCATTAAAGTAAAAAAAGAGTTGGGCAAAGGGAAAAAAACCAGACCAAGTCAGTGTAATCATTCAGTTGGGTTCTGGATGACAATCAGGAAGTAGTCTTTATCTGGAGGAAAAAGAAAATCAAATTATTCTTCATGGCCAATATTTGTTCACAGTAACAGTAAATTTCAACATTTTTTTCGTATCTCACTGATACACTCTGGGAACTACAGCATCCTGACATTCGTTCTCAATGAACAAAACAGGCTTAGCGTACCAGATCACTTGTTTTTATGAGTCTTAGTTTAAAAACTGCATGCTCCCAAGCCAATTGATTTTAACTCGGTTTATGTCTAGGAAATAATAGTAACTGGAACATGCAATGATGGAATCAAAATAGGTGGTGCAAGGCAGTGATTTCCCTTATCTCACAGGCAGACCGCTGGCCTGCAGTGGCTGTAGCTGCATTTTTTTCCGGAGCGATGCTTATTCCCCTCTGTTCATCCTTCATATGGAAATCAGAGGCTGCCTCAGCATAAACCTCAGAGCCTGTCTTAAGATCTGCCTTGATCACTCCCTGCAGAACAGTCTACTGCAACTGCAATCCCCTCCCTTGCCTCTCCAACACCACAATCGCACCACAGAGGCGATGCAGTATGAAGGAACAAAGCCGAGTTCCTGACATATTAGCGAACTGTACTCACCTTATTGCTTCCCATTTCATAACTTGATGAAATACTGAGGAAGTTTCCTGAAAAGAAGGTTGCTACTGCTATATTCTACGACGCATGATTAGAGCTACAATATGCTCTATTACTTTTCTCTGAACTGGAAAATCTATGGGACTGTTTTGCTTTATCACTTAGTCTACAGTGCTGAACTGAAACTGCTCTCAAAACATATTCCTTTCCAACTCTTGTGGTTTTATACTGAGAAACACAATGCATGAGAGGCTGCAACATGCTTTCAAACACTATTTATTGCTTTCTACTTTGATCAACATGAAATGAGGAAAGTAATTTCCCACATTCAAACATGAAAAAGCAAACTTAGGTCAATGATAAAAGCTTTCAGCTCTGAAGAAAGCAAAACAGTTTCTTAGAAAAGAAGAGATTACGCAATATGAATAAAAGCAGCAGGCAGAACTTTACTCTCCGGCTGACAGCGTCAAACTCACAAGAAAAGAATTCTGCTGGATTCCCTGATGCCTGCTTTCACCCCACTCGCTTTTACCTGGTGCAACCATGATTTCATTTTTCTTGGAGCGGATCCGCAGGAATGTGAGGTCATTCTGGGGATCAATGTCTCGCACAGTGCTCCTTGCCTTCATGATGAAGCTGTGCATGAGGCCCGCGTACTGAATTGTTGTGGAGTTGTCCATAGTACTTTTGATCGGAATACCTGCAAGAAACAGGACGGCAAGGGTCGGTGACAAAAATCCAGAACTAACTCCACCTTGGGTATCATCAGGTCCAACTGAGGTGGCTATTTAACCTAAGCAGATGTTGTCGCTACACCAGAGATTAGGAGTGGTTTTTTTTAAAGGCTTAAAAGAAGAATATGAACAGAAATAAGGTGTGGAAAGGCTAAGATCTGGAACCATGGGTGTAGGTGAGAAGAACTGTTTACCTCTAATACCAGCAGTGCTTTACTTTTGCCTTTTCATTTATGAGATTTATGAATAGAAATAAACTATAACAAAAATAAATACAGGGGGAGGCGGGCAGGGAGAGGAAAAACCAATGTTTCAATTTTGTTCTTCTGGCTGGGGACAGCTTTTTCTTTCAGAAAGGCTCCTGAACATCACAATTAAATGATACTCAAGTAAGCTAGGCCGGGATCAATGTTGATTATAGAGGACATCAGCTGCTGCATCACACAGTTACAAAGCTGAGGCTCCAACGTTCAGCTGTAAGAGTTGATGCAGTCCCACAAAGTCCCCGGTTCAATTCTTGTGCACCAGCCAAGAGGGCAGACACAGTGTTTGGCCACAGCTTTCCCTCCTTTATACTTCTGCCACCCATTAGATACGTTTTCCCACAAAAAGCCAGCCAAAATTCAGCTCACGTGTCAGAACAGTGCGGCAGCCAACTACCAAATACAGGCATGGCAGAAAAACTGCTTGCAGGTGTATGTTCAAATAAGCGCAGCTTCAGCCTGGAGAGCACAATCCATTATTCACTATCATGAAAAAGCAGCGAGCAGGAACACAAGCTGCATACAGGTACACAATGATCTGACTTTCAATATATTCATATATAGCTACTATCTGTCATCCTTTCTAAGGATTATTTCTAGGAAATATTCAATTTAAATTGATAATTACACCATTTTAAGAAGTTGGGCTGCTCACAGTGTATTTAGAGTGCTCTGAACAAGTCTGCTCTGCTGGACCCTTCAATGACTCCAAAAAGAGACAACCAGCTTATGAGTCTCATGAGGCCGCAAGCACGAGAGCTGCTAAGCTACTCGAGTCTCCAAAGACAGCAGCAAGATTTCAGATGTCATGAGAGCTTTTAGTGCTACTGATAAAGGCTTTGACAGAATACAGTCTCAAACACTGGCATAACTCAAATATTTCTAATCTTCTGCAATTTATTTTAGTTTATTTAATTTATTTCCTAAAATAATAAAGTGAGCTTGCAGAAAAGCAGACATGGGAATCCAATTTTCTCTTGTAGCCTAACTATTGTCTATCTGCTTTGGCTAGAGGAAAACCTTTGCTAAATGCAAGTATTACGATCATCAGTCCTTAAGATGCATGTTTACAGTAAGCTGTACCTCAGAAAACCGAGACTGACACAGTACCTTCAGAATTAACAACAATAATTCCTTGCACTCCTTTTTGGCTCTGAATTCGCTTCAGTGTTTCTTCCACCTCAGCCTGCAAACAAAGAAAACACAAGTCAACAGAGGATTACAGCTGCTATTTGCCTTTTGCAACAACGTGTCTGAAAATAAAGCTGCACAAAGATGATTCAAACAGATACTACCTACACCGTTCTATACAGCAAAGTGTCTGTACTTTGGTACTACCTTTTCCACATGACCTTTTCAGTTGTTTTCCAACTGTCTTCGCCATCTCTCTTCACTCATTTGTGATTATAATCTTGTGGAAACCTGGAACTTCCCTCTAATCTTTCTCCTTCTCCCCAACCCTCCCACAAACTCACCCATCAGTTCCTTACTGTAGGCTTGCAACTGGAAGACTGCTTAGTCAGACTGCTACAATTTAGGTGTCAAGCAAAAATGATGTATGAAAATATACATGGAATTTAAGAAAAAAGTAGAAAAAGATACATTCTAGGTGCAAGACCACCCTCCCTTTTATCAAATGATTGCTAAGAGCAATTACAAATAAGAAAAGAGACGGGGAAAAAAGAATGAATGCTATTTATTTATAAATATGATTAGTGCTGGGATAGCTACAAGATTATAACCACTAACAATAATTTACAACTTTGTAAAATCAACTTTAAAAAAAAAGGGGGGAAAAATGAAAACTGAAGGCCAAGGCAGTAGTCCCGTTGCCTTCTGTGTAAAAATCACCACCAACTTCAGAAGAGCTTTCAAACCATTCTGTACAACTTCCATTGCTACAAGACATCAATCAAAATTTAACTATAGCTTCTCTAACAGGGTCATAAAACCCCAGCATCTGAGCTGTTTTCCACAGCTGGGTGAATATTTAGCATTTTTTATTCCCATTAAAGGAAACAGAGACATACAGCATCTTTCAGATCCTGCAAGATGGAGTCCTGCAGAAATGGTCTAGGAGCAAAAGCGGGAATCACATGAACTCAGGAAAGGTGAGACCTATATGGGGCATTTGGCCAAGACGGCTGTGTTTCTTAGGCATTGTGAATAACCCTCTCTCCACGTCCACCCCGCAGCAAATGGGCACAGTCGTGTTTTAAGCCCTGTTCCCTGGGAAAAGGACTTGTCCTAACAAAACAACATGGCCTCAACCTCAGAACTACTAGCAAACTTTCTGCAGAGTGCTGTTAGTACAAGTACGTAGCTTGGAGTAACACAAAGTGTTGCTGATAAGAGATGGTACCACCTGAGTTGGACTTTATGAAGCAGTTTCTGTCCTATCCAGCATAGAAAAATTCAGTCTTTTCAACAAAGCTCTTGATTATTTCTGAATGCTGGACTATTTCCAAATAGAAGACAAGGGAACTGAAACAAAGAACAAACTACAGGGTGTACAAATGCTGAGACAAATATGGTGGCAAACTGTTTAGTTTGAAATAATTTCCTGACTTCTTACTAGAAGTATTTAAGTCTTAATTCATTAAATGCTTTCCTTCATTGGACCCTAACAAACCTATCTGCATGCAAAGAAGCATCCATACAGAATGATACCAACTTTTAATTTCAGATAACCTCACTCACAAGGTGAGGTGACCTGCTCTAACAGTTCACTGCTCTTGACATGGGAAGGTCTTGCTCCTCCTATTCTTACTCCCCGACATACAGGTACCACTTCACACACACTAGCTCTGGTGCTTGAACACCTCCGCAAGCCAGTTCAACTCACCAGACCAGCAAAAATATTGCTGAGAAAAAACACTATATATTTAACTCGGGAAACAAACAAAAACTGTATTAATAAAGGGCCGAATAACTACAAGAGACAGAATATGGGGAAGGAGAGATGCACTCTGGAAAAGGAGACTAAATACTCTCCAATCACCAATTTGCTCTTATATAACCTTTACTGTATGTACAACAGCAGGCCTTATCTTTTTGTCTTCATCTAGAAAGCTTTAACTCCTAGGTTTGCCTAAAAATATGTCTTATTAGACCACTTCAATTTTCCATCTACAACTTTGTCAGTATTTATTTCTTTAGAAATTTTCCCACATATTTTAATCCCCAGTTTCATCAATATACACTAATCAACAACACATTTGAACAGGAAGCAACCTCCACTGCAATCTCAATAACACAGGTATGTTCCAGGTTCCACAGAACATCAAACACCCAGCTGCCTTAAAACAGGCTTTCTTCCCCAATTGCTTTCAGCTTTAGGAATTGCAACCCGGTAGCCATAAGAAATGCAAAGATTTTCCTCTGAACGTATCTTCAGCCTGCCATCACACGGTGTATTTCAGTGTTTGGCAGAATGAACCGAAGGTTTATGGCAATACCACGCTTTCCACCGCAATGATTTTGGGACAGAAGTCCCCGGTCCACGCGATCAGGCAGACTGGGCTCAGCCGTCGTGGCTGAAACCCCTCGGCGACAAAGCCGGGGCGGCCTGAGGTGCCTGGCTCAGCCGCCGGTGTG